GAAACACTTCACTTATTTCATACTTAAAGCAAAAAAAACTGGCGGTCTGATAAGTAACTTAACTTTATTAGTTTAGTAGTAAGTTGCAATAAGCAAATTAAAACCAGTTTTTCAAGCGTTGTCCAAAGTGGATCTTTTTTTATTTTAATTTTTACTTTTTTTTTTTTTTTTTTTTTTGTAAATTTATTTGCCTTCAATAAGAGAAATTAAAATTACAGAATAGCTTTATTACAAATATAATAGGCAGGACTTCCAGAAGATCATACGATCTTATTGAATTAGGAAGCCCTTGAAGCCCTTTACAATATCAAGTATAATAATAATAATAACAATAAAATCAAATTAAGCAATAAAAATCAACATAAACTATATATAACTGTGCATTTAAAATATAAATATACTGAATAAATTATATGAAATATGTGAAGCAAAAAAACTAAAAACAAGAAAAAATATTTTCTGCTGAAAAGATAACTTCTTTTAATTTTCGTTTGAAAGAAGTTAAAGTCCATTTTAATGACAAATCAAAATTTGGCAAAACTATTTTATTTCATAAATAAGGACCGCGATAAGAAATAATTAGTTGTTCAAATTTAGTTTGGCAGAAAGGTTGTTGTAGATTTTTTCCATTGCAAAGATTGTTTATGTTTATGGGTTTTACATTATAAAGGTTTATAAATACATCAGGAGATAAATGATTTTTACATTTAAACATAAAACATAAAATATTATAAACATTTATTCGTATACATTTGAGGCTTTCATTTCTCTCAGAAGTGGTTTTGAGTTTGAAAAACGATTTTCAAAATTAATTTAGCGAGCTGCGTTTTTCTGAGGCTGATAAAGAGATTTAAGTTTAGTTTTGTGCGCGCTTCCCCATACAATACTTGCATAATTTAAATGGCAGTGGATAAACGAATAATATAGTTGTTTTAATTGTTGTTTATTTAAAATATGTCGAACTTTATATATAATTCCAATACTTTTAGCAACTTTCAAGGATATATTATTGATTTGTTGTTTCCAGGATAAGTTTTCGTCTACAAGAACTCCGAGAAATTTTGTAACTTTTTCCCTTTTTAGTATTGTATAGTCAATGAAGAGGTTGGGCAGTGTATTTGGTAAACATTTTTTTCTGAATGTTGAGTAAAAAAGTGTCAATTTTGTTTTATCAATATTGAGGGACAATTTGTTTTTCTTAAACCAATACGAGATTTTATTTAATTCTTGTGTCATATTATCAAAAAGTGTATTTATGTTTTCGTGAGATTGAAATAGGTTTGTGTCATCAGCAAAAATTATAGTGGTTAAGTTAGAGGCTTTGTTGAGGTCATTTATATATGTTAAAAATAATAGGGGGCCCAACTATAGATCCCTGTGGGACACCACATGTTACATTCATTAATAAAGGCAAAGAAGAGTCTTGGATATTAACAAACTGCTTACGATTACTAAGATAGCTTTTGAACCAGCTGAGGGATTTATCTTTAATTCTATAGAGTTCTAATTATTTTAATAGAATGTCGTGAACGACAATATTAAAAGCTTTAGACAAATCGATGAATACTCCTAGGGTATAATGAGAATTTTTAAAAGAATCAGAAATGCTGCGTGTTAGTTGAAGTATGGCGTGTTCAGTAGAATAGTTTCTCTGGAAGCCGAATTGATTATTACATAAAAGTTTAGTATCAACAAAATAATTGTAGACTCTGCTATACATTATTTTTTCTAGTATTTTAGAGAAAACCGGAAGAACTGAAATAGGACGATAATTTGTAATGTTACAATGGTCACCTGATTTATAAATAGGAATAATTTTTGCTCCTTTTAGAAAGTCTGGAAAGGATCCTTGAGCAATAGAAGCTTTACAAATTTTAAAGAGTATATCTTTCAAAATGTCAAAAGGAGTCTATTATAACATTTCCATTGATGCAATCAATGCAATCCATTTTAATGATTTAAACGCTGCTTCAAATTCGTTGTATGTTTGGTTTGAAAAATTTAAAGTTAAATTAGGTGATGTTATAAACTCATTAATTGATTTGTCATTAAGATAAGGAATTTTATTTGATAAACCGATTGAAGAAAAACATTTATTAAATTCAAAAGCAATTTTATTATTTATTATTATTAATATTTTATTAATCACCCTTTGTAAAATAAATTTACAAGGTAAAAACGCAAACTTAGAAAAAGAGATAAAAAAAAAGTATTATTTAGGAATGTTTTCTTCAAGTGTCTTTTTAAAAATTGTTCGCTGTTCTTTCACATTCCAACATTGAACCGCGTGTACCAAAATATGAAGAGTAGCTTCAGGAATTACATCCTCTAAGATTTAAGTTTTACTTTTTTTTTAACCAGCATTAAGGTTTTCATATTCAGTTTATGATTATCACATAATTCTTTTATATCATCTAAAAAAGAAAATTTAGCTGAACAGTAGTTAAATTGGGAGTTAATGATTTCAAAGGTTACTTTATTGTTTAAAAGGCAGATAAATAGATTTATTTTGTTTTGGTGTATATAATTTAACATCTCCTTATTTTTAAATAGAGAGTGTATATAGTTTTTACTATACTTGGAGACATTAAAAATTGATTTAACTGCGTTCCTTCCAAATGTGTCAAGTCTTTTCATTGTTGCATCTTTATTTTCACAGAGCTCTAGATCGTGGGTTAAATGTCGGAACTACTAATGATTAATATAATTGGATAATAGAACTTGGATGTGCAAACCGGATTCCAGATTAAATAAGAGTTTGCACTGTTGCCCTGAAATTTGCTACCCTACTACCAATATTCATTCTATTTAGTGAAGCAAAAATTGATTTTTTTTGTATCCCATGTAAAGCCGAGATGATTAAGTTTCTCACGAAGTATAATTTGGTGGTTGTCTAGAAATATTTGGCAGTTCATTATTTGTCTTTTTCCAGAGAGCAAAAGTTCCGATTTGAAAGCATTAAGTTTTATCCCGTTTAAATTGTTGTATATGTTACACATTGAAATTTTTTTAGGCCCGAGAGAGTAGAGCTGAGAAGAATGATGTCGTCAGCATAAGCTACAACACAAGTCAAGTTTCCATATATATTAGTACCAACAATATCATCATTTTTTATAGTTTCGAGTAGCTTCTCAGTGTATATGTTATATAGGTAGGGTGAGAGAATCGATCCTTGTCTCACTCCTTGCTTAAGATCAAATGAGACTGATTTGCAACCTAGGTATGAGACAGTCGCACTGTCGCTACGGTATAAAGAAGATATAGTGTTAACTATTTGGAGAGGTAGATTTTTATCAAAATAAAGTTTATTAAAAAGAACATCCCAGTTGCAGCTGTCAAAAGCCTTTTCTGCATCTAGTGAACATAAATAAACAGGCGAATTAGGGCCATTAAATAATTTGTTTTTAATTTTTATTGCATTAGGTAATATTGTACTTTCTTTAGTTGCCAAATACGCTTTAAATTACGTTTATGCTTTGCAAACAAGTCGGAGTAGTAATTTCTTTTTGCATTTTTTCGGAGTTTTTCGAAATAATTTTTATACATTAAGTAGTTATTTTTATGATAGACTGATTTAGATTTTAGATATTTAATATACAGTTTTTGTTTCACTTTCGATGATTTTTGAAGTCCTTTAGTTATACAAGGACATGATACGTCCTTGGTGTTAAGGATTATTTCACGAATAGGAAAGTTTGCGTCATAAATGGATTTAAATGTTTTGAAAAAAGAATCGTAGATCAGGTTTATATCATCATTGAAGTTAATATCGCTCCAGTTTTGATTCGAAATTTGTTCCTTAAAAGATTTTAAATTGTTACTGTATACACGCTTTTTTATAGTTGAATATAGCTTTTTTATATTGTATATAGCTTTTTTATAGTTTTATACTCAGGAGATTTAATTTATAGTTTGCATTTATACAAAAAAAAAAAAATAGGAAAGTGATCTGAGACATAAGTTTTAACAATATTTTTTTTAAGCAGCGTGTTAAAAAAATTGCTTAAAATGTTATCTAAAAAGTGTTTGAGTGGCTTTACTCAAAATTGTTTTTAGTTTAATTTATAGTTTGCGTGGATCTTAAAAAGTGTTGGCGTGGCTTCACTCAAAACTGTAACGAGTCATTTAATCAATTAATTTGGAATCGTTGCTCAAAAAATATCTTTGTATCAAAAAAAAAAAAAATAATGTGGAAATTGCAGTGAACTCTGCTGTTATTGCATACAATGTAGGAATATTAGGAAAGTTTTTAAATTGCTAGACATTTTCCAGAATATTATTTCAATCTTAGTGCACAGCAATTAGACAAAAATCGTCTAAAAATATGAGTTTAAGTCAAATGAAAGAGCGAAAAAAAAAAAGGATTACTAAAAAAAGGTTATTTTGACAAAGAGCAAGAGATGGGGGGGGGGGGGTCAATCGTATTGGCCTTTTTGATGTTTTTAATTATTGATTTTTTTAGCTTGTAACTTTTTTATATTAAGTTGTTTTTCTCAGTTTTCTACTTTTAGAAATTTTTAAAACTAAACACAAATATCTTAAAAACCATTAACTCTTTTTATTTGAAATTTTCACAGTTTATTCATTGATATTTTAGGGCTGGTAGTAGATTAAATAAGAAACATTTGTTATTTCGGTCAGAATCCCTTATTTTACTAACCCTATGGACCATTTTTTATATCCGTTGCAGCTCTATATCTGCCATTTTAACTTGGTATAATATTTTTAAAAAATTATACTAAGGGCCCTCTACCAACTATATAGCTATATGCTTAAAAAATGTGAAGCTTAAATTTCAAATATTATTCAAGGTATTTATGTTTTTGTAACTGCTTTTTTATTGCTTTTTTTTCATTGCATCTTTTGACAAAAATTATGTTTTTTATATTTAGTTTGTTAACTACTAAATAAAAAAGTTTCTAATTTAACGAAAAATATCAAATTTTGAAAAATAAAAAATGTAGGGTAGTACCACCTTAAAGCTATTGATAACAATTAAGTTGTGGTATAAAATAATTTAGTAAATTATATTAACAGTTCTTTTTTATAAAAAGATTTATAGGGCTGTTACACAAACCAAAAAATAATTAAAAAAAAACGTCATAAAACTTAGAATAAAATGGCAACTGAAAACTGGAAATTAGTTAAATTAGAAATAAACTTAAAAAAATTATTATGCAAATCTTTTTTAAATTCGATTTCAGGTAATTTCAATGCCAAATCTTCAATAGGTATAAGATTTCGTTTATCAGATGCTGTTTTTGATTGAATTGTTCTAAAATATATTTCTGTGGACATATTTTTTTCATGAAACTTCGATGGATAATAATGTTTCGACGCTAGTCACGTTGATTTGATTTGCATTGAGAGCGATTTGGTTTATTTTTTTTTTTTTTAATAAATTTTTTTTTATAATTTTATCGGTAAATATTAAGTAAGCAAAATATAATCGTTTTTAAAATATTTTATTTTTATAATTAAATTGATAAATATTAAATACGCAACAATATAAACTTTTCAAACATTAAAAAATATGACGTTATGAAGTGATGTCACTGATAAACAGTTTAACTAGTGTAGTCTGTGGAGTCACTGATAAACAAAATAGAATAGTAATATGAGATTTCGCCTTAAAATTGCCTGTAATCAAATTTCAAAATGTCTCTAATAATATTTATTAAGTTTTACTAAACTATAGTCTTGATTTTCTCAGATACCATTTTATTCTAAGTTTTCTATTTTCTTTAAAAATGTTTACAACACAAATGACATAAACAAATCCATAAATAAAAAAAAGTAAAAAAGTTCTGCTATTTTACTTGCGTTTAACAATACAAATAACAGAAACAAATCCTTCAACACAAGTAAAATACAAATAACAGAAACAAATCCTTCAAAACAAGTAAAATAACCAAAACAGCTCAACACAAAATAAAACATAAAGACCTTAATACAAAATAACTAAAAGAAGTTATTTTGCTATAGTGAAAACCACTTTAACTAAAAATGTCTTTTCAAAAATGGTGTTGAAGAACTATTGAAAATAAATGCAATAAATAACTTTTTTACTATTTGTTTAAATAAATTTAAATATAAAAACCTGTTTTTTAAACAAAATAAAAAGAATTAACCTCCTTTTTTTTAAAATATGTGAGAAATTCATTTTTTCTTACAAAATGTAAGTTTCTCGTTTTTATTGATCACTGCTTACAAAAAGTGGTGTCTCCAATAAGTTAGGTTTATGTATCTTAAATTAGTTTATATCTTCAGATTGATTTTCGCAAACCAGAACTTTGTCTGCCAACCCCCAAGACCCATCCCTAATTTGGATTTGGATTCACCTTTGTAAACATTGATAAGCCACAATATACAATTAACAACATTCACACGAACAATAAAAATAAAAATAATATTTTTGTGATAAAAGAGAAAAAAAAAAACAATATTTAAAAGTTTTTATGAACTTTTATACTCCAAGGAAACTCCGAGAAAAACTTCAAGAAAACTCCAATAAAAAAATCAAGAAAGCTTCAAGGATACTCCAAGATATTGTAGAAAATTATTTGTGATTTGATATTATTTTTATGAGCTTAATGATACACTTTCTTGGCCTTATATTTTCTAATCATTTGCTTTCTTATCTTCTGTTTTCTTTTTTATTGTTTCTACTCATTTTCTTTCTTATCTATTAGCGTGTACAAACGTTCTAATCTTTCATTTATCAAATAAGTTTTTTCTTCCATATTCTTTAATCTTGATTGTAATGTTTTAATTTCGTTTTGTCGAAACCTTTCAGGTAAAATTTGACTCGAATGTGGCATTCGATCAACTGCCATCCAAGGCAAAATAAAGCGACTGAAATACAAAGTTACAACAGCGATAGCAGCATGCAATGGATAACTTGTGATAATATCAAAAGCAAACCACAAAAAACCAATTATGCTAAGAATCCTAAAATAACGCTAAGAATCCTAAAATAACGCTAAGAATCCTAAAATAACGCTAAAAATACTAAAATAACGCTAAGAATACTAAAATAACGCTAAGAATGCGGTAGTGGTGTAGTGGTAAGAGCGCTCGCTTTGTAAGCGAGAGGTTCGGAGTTCGACTCCCACCATGTCCCTGGAAGCACCGCGCTCAACTTAATTTCCACGCGCAGCGGCCTTGCTTGTCAAGGTTCGTGTTTTGGAGTTAAAGAGTTGAGAGAGGGTTGTACCATGATTTACAACAACAACAACAAAAAAAAAAAATAAAATAATAAAAATCAGTAGCCTCCTCGAGTAGTGGTCTTCTCGGGCCTTGGGGAGGTAAATAATTAAAAAAAAAAAGAATACTAAAATAAGGCTAAGAGTACTAAAATAACGCTAAGAATCCTAAAAACGCTAAGAATATTAAAATAACGCTAAGAATACTAAAATAACGCTAAGAATACTAAAAACGCTAAGAATATTAAAATAACGCTAAGAATACTAAAAACGCTAAGAATATTAAAATAACGCTTAGAATACTAAAATAACGCTAAGAATTCTATACTTAATAGAACCTATTATTTTCCTTTTATTTCACATAAAAATATTTAAAATATATTTAAAAAATTTGATAATAAAAAAAATATTTTACCATTTAAATACAAGAGGTGTTCCACCGATGTAATGCACAAGGAAGCTGGCAGCTATATATAGTAAAAAATTCCAACTACTTAAAAATCTCATGAAAACAAGAGAAAGTATACCACCATAGATGAAAAGATATAGAGGTGTTTGTTTATTTTCTTGTTCCATAACATTCCAAGGATGAAACGGATCTAATAATGAAACAAAAAATCACCCTTGACTCTTTGGTCCCGCAAAAAAGGTTATTAAATACAGAGGATTTTAAGTACAAAGCAGCAAAACGGTCAGCGAAGTTTTAAAGATTAAAAAATACAGGGTTTTTAAGCTAATTTTTTTAATAATATATTAAAAAGTTTGAATTATAAACATTTAGTAGCAATGTGAAACTTAAATTAATAACAAGTATTTAGTTATGCTAAAAGAAGTAGAATCCCAAAACACTGAGCAAGATTGATCTCTTAAATTTATTTTTAATTTTTCATTAAATTTTAGGCTTTGAAACTTATTTAAATTTTTCACAAACTCTCCTTACGACTAATGTGTAATGGAGGCAAGGAAGAAGATGACTATAGATTAAGCATCTTTTTTACTATTTTTTTTTTATTGAAAAAGTTTTTTATAAAAAAATTATTAAAGTCAAAACAATACAATACCTATTTTTTCGAAATATATATCACATTTCTTTTTTAAATATTCTAGAAAGAAATTGTGGTAGTAGTAGAAAACCTTTATTATAGCAAGTGATCCATTTACAATTATTGCCCATATTGATTGGTGAACAAACTTTGCTATATCAACAGGATGAACTTTTAAATTTCTCCAATCATCTTTAAACTGTTGATAAGAATATTTTTGACCTGGAAATCAGAGAGATAACAAATAGACAAATAAAAATCATTAACTTAAAAAAGCAAAGAAATTTGAGTCATTTTCAATTTTAAAAATTTTAAAAACAGAGAAAAACTGTAGAGATCCTAGTAATCACATAACTTTGGCCAAAAAAAATTTCTAGAATAATGTTTTACATTTGTGGAATGATTTTAAATACTGAGAATGTTAAGCTTAATCTATTAGATATAAAGATGTAAAACAATTCATGTAAAAAGATGTAAAAGAATTTATCTAAAAAATCTAAAAGAATTAATGTAAAAAAATCTAAAAGAATTTATGTAAAAAGATGTAAAAAGATTTATGTAAAAAAATCTAAAAAAATTTATGTAAAAAGATTTTAAAAGATTTATGTAAAAAGATCTAAAAGAATTCATGTAAAAAAGTGCATCATTTAGTCATAAATCTATAAACTTTTAGCGAAAAATTAAATTATATTGCAAACGATATTTGAAAATAGGTTACTTTGATTAATGCAAGTTGTAAAATACCATTTTTTTTGGGTTTGTACTATAATAAATATCCGTAATGCTATTTTCTCATTCAAATATGACATGAAAAATTAAAGATGACATATTATAAAAAACTTGAAGCATATTACAATACTCTACTTAGTTTTAACCAAACTTTTCCAAAATCCATCAACAATTATTTATGTTTATTTATTGTATTTATTCTAGTAAATAAGTGAAATAAAATTTAAAAAGCAAGGTTTAAAAAAAATGTAAACTTTCTGGAAAACAATTTAAAGTCTGTAAACATATTTTGAAAATGCAAACTGTAGGAGTCTCAAAAACATATAAAAGAAAAAGAATTTCAAACCATTCAAATTAAAGCAATTTAAAAGTAAAGCAATTTAAAAGAAAAAATTTGACAAAAAAAAGTTTTTTAGCATAAAAGGACAGTTACAGTAAAAAGGTGTGACTTGGCTGAATGACAATACATGTAAGATTGTGATTTAGTAGGTGAAACAAGAGCTAAAGCTTGCCTAAGCAGAAAGAGAACATTACAACAATCATTATTGTAACACAGGTCTACAAACAAAATTTTCTTTTACATGAGAAATTTAAATTAATTTTTGTGTATTTTTAAAGCTTATTTCAAAACTAAGCTCTATTTTTGTCGGTCAAGTCTAGTTTTTTGCAATAACTAATTTTTTAAAAATAAGAATTTTTACAGGCATTTTAATTCAATAGTCATGAAAAGTAATCATGCCATTATTTTTTTTTTAGATTAATTATATATAATGGCTTCTACAAATCGACATAAGTATAAACATAATCCTGACTCATTCTGTCTGTGGCACATGCTACTAGGCTTCACATACTGCCATATTTGCAATGAGAGTCTTCAAGGTTGGACAAAAAAAAAAAAAAAGTTTAACTTATGGAATCTCCATGATGTGAAGAGAAATATTAAACCATATTGATGACTGATGTTTTTTCTTGTCAATAGCTCTACTATTAGAAAAATAAAAAAGCAAAAATAACTTATACCAACATTTCTTCTGCTACTATTATCTACTAATTCAACATTCTGAAAAGGTTCTAGTTCTAATTTTCAAAGTTTTATTTTTGTTAGCAGATAAACATGCATTCCTGCTGCAGAAACAGAAGATGTAATATCAGATTTGGAAGACTTCTCCTCAATGCAAAACATTTAAAATTGCTTCAGTGTTTAAGTCAGATAGTACAGAATGATTTGGTCCATGATTTAAAATTTCTAAGCAAGCAACAAAACTATTAGCCTCTCAATTGAAGGAAAGGAACCTTTTTGACAGTTTTGCAAAAAGTTTTCTAGTTTAGACAAGTAAGAAAACATTTGTAAAGTTTTTTTTCAAAAGTCCATTCATTTCTGTTATGATATTTCAGGTCTCTTATTACAGTTAGGTATTTCTGTATATAATCCAACAGAATAGAGACTGTTTAGCAACAGCTCAAAGCAAAACCTCAAAGGTGTCCTTTTCCACAATGGCAATATTTTCAGTTCTATACCAATAGGCCATTCTTTCTATTTGCAAGAGACATTAAAACATTTGTGTAGACATAAAAATAGCTAACTTTTCTCATTGGTCATATTTGTTAATATTCTAAAACCCTTTTTCCTTTTTTTTAAAAAACATAAAAATTATATATTCAGCTGTTTTCTATTTTTGTTTTTTATTTATGAAAAATATAAATCATTTTTCAATTTAACCTGAAACATTTTTTCAATTTAATTGAAATGAAAATTTGAAAAAATTAAATCTTTAATCAGTTTAAACACTAACCATTTATAAACATTACTAAACATTACTAAAAATTACTAAACATTTATAAATGAATTCAAACCTGCTTTACAGAAATACTTTGAAAACATTTTTTAATTACTTAAATTTTGAAAAATAAAAAAATTGTTTATTGCAAAAAATCTGTAACTTGTCATAAAAATCTGATATCAGAAATTCAAAATTTTATTATTTATGAATTTTATGAATTCAAAAATTTAGAAATTAGAAAAAGTAGAAATTGCACATAGCATTTAAAACTTAGAAATTTGAAAGATTTAATAAAGATAAAATAAAGACAATTTTTCAACATATTTTGGATACATAAAAATTATAAATTTAATAATAAATTATAGTTATAAAAAAAAAAGAGGACATTAAATAATAAATAAAATCAATAATAAAACATCATAAAATGTTTAATGACTAAATATTTGGAATAATCAAACTGTTCTAAATCAATACGCTTAGATAATCAAACTGTTCTAAATCAAAACGCTTGATTAATCAAATTGTTCTAAATAAAAATGTTTGGATAATCAAACTGTTCTGAATTAAGACATTTTACCAAATAAATATTTTAAAATATTTAAAAAATATATAAACAGGCTGTCAAGCAACAACTTTATAAAAAATGAAAAATGACAAATTGCATTTAAAAAATGAAAAGTTCAACAACTATTTTTAAAAACAAAATAAATCAGAAGTCATCAAAAATGTCTAAAAGAATATAAAACAAATGCACAGGAACTAAAATATAAAATAAATGAACAGAAAACACCGAATAACTTGCAACACCAAACAAGATTTAAAATAAACAAGAAGTTCATTACAACTTTTTATTTACAATACTACTGAGATTTTCTGAAACGATTAAACTATCTATTTCACTTTTTTGTTTTAAACCAATATTTACTCTAAACTTTTTTTGTTCATTTCTATATGATTGTAGCATTTTTTTTGCAATGTTGACTATTTCATGGGCAATTTTATACCTATCATGTCTTTATTAATGGCACTTTGCATAGACTTGGTCGCTTCACCTAGTATTCTCTGAGCAAGTTGAAACTTTGATCTAGGTTTTTGTTTGCTTTTTCAACTTTTTCAAGCATTTCTTTGTGTTGTTTTTCTTTATCAATAAGTTCTTGCTTATAAATATCATTTATTCTTTTCTATTCTTCTTCCTCAACTTTTTTTTTATATATTCTGTTAACATTTTGCACTTGCTGAACAATATCTTTACAGAGAGCATCAACATTATATGTTCTTCTTGCATATTTCTTTGATATTCTCAGAGCCATTAATGTTTCATCATTTAGTTTTATTCTCTCAGATGTCAATGTATTTTTATTATCTGATAAACATTGCTCTGCACTAGCGTTTCCATTCTGAATAGTTAAACAACTCTTAAAAACTTTATTGAGATATAGGTAGTTTTTCCACATTCATTGTCACTTTTAAAAATTAAGTCCAGTAATAGTAAATTTTTTTTTGATTTTTTTTGTATCAGAATCCGAATACCAGTCTTTTGAGATATTAACTGTTGATACAATTTCCATTCATCTTTCACAAATGATACCAAATCAAAAATGAAGATAAAATTCTTATGAAAAAATCAATATTAAAACCTAAAGGAAAACTAAATTAAATAACAATATTACATAATCTTAAGAAACTATAATACTCATAAACAGAACATGAATTAAATACAAATTAATCTATTAAAGTACAATTAAAAAACAAAACAAAATAATTAAATATAAATTACATATAAAGCATTTTTTTGACATCTTCAGCTGTTGCTTTGCCAAAGAACAGCGATTTTAAATACATTGTAACAAATTGATTCCCTTCTTCTGACCAAAAATAACATAGAAGACCTATTTGTTTTGTTTGCTGTACTGTAGTTGCTTCATCAAAGATTAAAGTAAAAGCACTCTGACTTATTGATAGAACTAAAGCGCTTCTCCAGCAAACATCCAAGGCCATCTTGAAATATATATGAAGCTTTTTGCTAACTCATAATGAAACCTTGACTTACTATACTATCTGGAATCATTTTTTGAAATAATAATGATGTACTATCATACATATAAATGAGGAATTGTTTTTGAAAATCTAATATCAGACACAAATTTGTGTTTAGGTTTTATAGAATGCTGATAAAGTGTTTGAAAATCAACTGAACTGTATTTCAAATCATTCAAACATAGTTTACAGTCTGCATACTCAGAGTTTTGTTTTCTCAGCCCATAGTTTAATTTTTACTTGATTTTTATCAAGCTTTTCCAGTTAAACCCCATTCCATTTAACCATTATAGCTTTGACCTATCTATTGATTAATATAGACCAATCTATTAATATACTTAAAATTAAAAATAGATACTAGTAACTTTAAAAATACTGAAAATTTTATTCATAATTTATTTCTCAATTCAGTTTATTAACCAATAAAAGTAATAAAAACAATTTGACAATACAAAAAATTACAATATTTAAATAAAACTTAAATAAAATATTGTAAAATAATAATTATTGTAAAATTTAAATAATCATAAATAACTCAAACTACAAAAAATAAAGTTAAAGTAAAATAAACCTTAACTCAATTCAAATACTTAAAAAAAAAATTAATTAAAAAAATTAAAAAAAAAAAGACAAAAACTTACCAAAAAATTAAAAAAAAAAAAAAAATTAATAAAAAAGACCACAAAAAAAAAAAAAAAAAAAAAAACAACTTGACAGCCTGATATAAACCAATATTGCACTAAAACATATAATCTAATATTGCATTAAAATACTGCAATCATAAAATACTAATCTAAATTTAAACATTCATTTTATTTCAAACAAAAAATATTGTTTAAAAAACTTCAATGAATTGATTTTCTATATACAATTTGAAAAACATCATAGTCGGTTACAAATGCACAAATGTGTAAGCTTCTTATTAATAATAATAGTAAGTAATAATATTGCATATAATTTCATCACAAATTAAATTAATAACTATATTAACAAGTAATATTATTAATGCTATTGCGCTGAAATTATAACATATCTTAAGCTGCAAATCAAATTAATAAATGTACATAGAGGCTTTTGATAAAACAACAAAACTATACCATTGTTAATAGCTGTCTTAAGATACTGATGAATAACTTCAAATACTCTATCTAAATTAAGAGCTTGTTTCAGATCATTAACAAGTGCGGCAAAATCATTAATTGGTATATCCTTTTTATCTTCACTGCTATAAGTTGTAAAAACAACCAATCCAAAAATGAAAACTGTTTTAATTAGCATGCTGCTATAATAAGCAAAAAATAATTAAAGAAACAAAAAAATAATAATAATTTTTGAATCAGTATTGTTTTCAAAATAAAATTATTAAAATGATAAAATAATGATGAAATAATGCTTGTTTTATTTCATCATTATTTTATCATTTTAATAATTTTATTTTGAAAATAATACTGATTCAAAAAGTATGATTTTTTTTTTTGTTTCTTTAATTATTTTTTGACAAATAAAAATACAAGCAATAATAAATAACAAATAAAAAAACAAGCAATAACAAATGAAAAAAATAATTAAAACATAACCATTGTTTTTTAAAATAAGTAAAAAAATAGTTCTAACATTTTAAAATTATTTTATAAAATTATTTTTAAACCTTATTAATAATATTAATTTTATTATTATTATTAAACTTCAATAATCAATAATAATAATATTATCATTAAAATTATATATTAAATATAATAATGAATTTAAAAAAAATTAAATTGTAAAAAAAAAGCAATACTTTGAAATTTTAGCAAATTAAACCAATAATCTCATGTTTTTTAAAATTTTACTTTATGATATATTGAAATAGATTTCCACAGATATTTACTACTCAAAGATATTTTCATTAGAAGAGATTTTTGCAGTTGATATATCTTTTTTAACTTGATTTTTACAATGCACTTATTAATCTAATGCGGAACATTTTTTTGTAGTTTGGATCCAAAATTGCAAAATTTCTTTAGCAACCATGTCTCCCATTAAAGTAGGAAAACCCTTTTTTCATTTATTGAATTATTAATAATTAAAAAATCAATCTCTGTCAGATTAAAATTAAATATTAACTATTATTAAAAATTACAACAATTAACTATTTATAAAAAATTAATTTATAAAAAATTCAACTTAAATATTCATATAATGATAAAAAAAACTTTTTTGACTTTTAAAATTTATTAATTAAAAAAAAAAGAAATTAAATCAAAATTAAACTTAAGAAAACAATTAAGTGTTAATTACTTAAAATAAGGTATACAGAGGTTATGCTTAAAATAATTTTTTTTTTTACACAAAATAGATAAAAAAAATACCAAATTAATTACATATTTAAAACAACAGATTGTAAAGACTTTTGATGACAAAATTTAAGCAGGTAAACTAGTTAAAAATTATCTTATAATAAAAAAATATAACATAAAATCAATATAATATAAAAAATTACAAATAAAAAATTATATATTTTTAAAAAACAAATCTATTTTTTTTTATATATTTTTAAAAAACAAATCTATTAATTCTTCTTTAATACAAACAATTCTTCTTTACTACAAATGAATCCAATCTTCTTTACTCCAATCAAGTAATATTGGATCAAAATGAAAAACATCGGGATGACCAAGAGGGCGACTCCATTCTGTTTTGGACCATTGAAAAGGTGGTTGTTGGTCAAATGTTGGCCCACTAACAATGAATTGAGATAAAGTTTTTGCTAGTTGTGAATTTGTTGCCTAAAAAAACAAATACAGAAAAGTTATAATATAATATATATATATATATATATATATATATATATATATATATATATATATATATATATATATACACTTAAAAACTAAAAGAGAAAAAAAAAGATATTATACTATATACTATAATATAGATATTATAGCCTTATAGAGGAAATTAAAAGTCAACAAAAATAGTGTAAAGCTGAAATTTATAAAATAGTATAAAAAATTAACTGCACAAAAAATAGTATAAAGCTAAAATTTAGCACAGAGAAAGGAGACAGAACATGGGTTAGCATAAAAAAGCCCTGTTGATTGTGCTATGGGAACATCTCTTTTGGAACAATATTAGGGGTAAAAAGAATGGCCTATAACTGGACCTAATTTTGAAATTTCTAAAATCATAGAATATGAAAATTTTGATTTTCAATCTACAAATGTTGATTTTTCATACTTACTACTAATTAAAACATCAACTACTAATTTTTAAGTTTACTGCATTTTCAACCAACTGAACTCTCAACCTACTGAAATTTTAACCTACTGTATTTTTAACCTACGGTCTAGGTATGTAAAGCGGCATAAAACTTCTCCTTAAATGCTCTTCCGCACAGCTCTATGACAAAACCATTAGGTTTTGTTGGAATTTCTACCATTTGATGTAAATGGCGGTATTTTATTATCCAAGGAGACCTAACGGTCTTATTGTAGAGCACCATAGAAGGGCATTTAACAAGGATGTTTATGCCTCCTCTCATACCAATGTCGCTTATTTGACCTCTTTTTTTATATATTACTCTTGAGTATTTATATAAAGTGGTTTGGGGGAGGAAATCCTAAAAACACAGACTAGTAGGTTGAAATGAATTTTGACAATAATCGGTTGGAAATCAAATTATCTCAAATCAGTCGAAAATAAAAGTCTCTAAAAACGGTTGAGAAAAAAATTGGTCGAATATATATATATATATATATATATATATATATATATATATATAAATTTTTGAAGTCATTGCTCTTGTTTAAATATTAATAATAAAAATTTAAAATATAATATTTATTAGCATAGAATTTGCACTCCAAAATATATGTTTTATATTATTTCAAGTGTCAAAATTAAACAACTTTTTGCCCCGAAATTGTCCCAAAAGGGATGTTCCCGTAGCGCAATCAGCATTTTTTTAAATGTTGATTGCACTACGGGAACATCCCTTTTTGCGGGAACATCCCTGATTGCGCTCATTCAATGACTGTTTTCATTCTATCTGCCAAATTTCAGCTTCATACTAATTTTATCTTCATACTATGTGCCAAATTTCAGCTTCATACTAATTTTATTTTCATTCTATGTGCCAAATTTTTGCCCGGGCTCGATAATGTTTTAATCAAAAATATTTTAATTAATTAAACAATTTTTTCAACCTGTTATTCAAACATATTACATTTTTTCAATCTTTTATATGAAGTTATTACATTTTTTCATCTGTAATTTGAAATTATTATACTTTTTCAATCTGTTATTTGAGGATATCACATTTTTAAATCTGCTTTTTGAAGCTATTACATTTTTTTCAACTTGCTATTTGAATTACATATTTTCAATCTATTACATATTTTCAATTTGTTATATGAAGTTACTACATTTCTAAGGTTAACGAAAATTCATGATTTTATTATATTAAACTTTGAAATAACTTCTTTTGCAATGTAACTTTCTCTAACTGCTAACTGTTTTAATAACTGTCTATGTGCCAGCTCCCCATCCTACTCCACCTCCTCATCCAACATCTCTACTTAATGTAATAATATATAAAGTAACATAATATGATTGCAAAAAAATAACTTCTATTATAAAGCTGATAAAACTTACTTTGCAATCAGTTGCACCATGTTTACGATGACTAAGAGCACCAAATGGATAACTTCCGTTAGCTGGATTT